CTCAACCAACAGACCAACCGGGACAAGTCATGCGGGCAACTGGCCACCCGTAGTACCAGATTATGTGGTTCTCTAGTTAGACCATATCAAGGACTAGCCGAGGAGTGAAGTGACCATTTTATAGTCCCGGCAGACTAGAGGTACTGGTAGCACCTCTTAATCCCAGGATTGCAAAAAACCATGATGAGGGTCTTACATCAAGGAAACATGCCCCGGGGGCTAGATTCGTTATAGAGTTGCATAGAGTGAATTGATGGTACCTAAGATCACAATGTCCAGTAAGTAATCCCGTTAGTACTCTGAAAATCGCTTTTATTGAGCGCTAGTAGCTTTTGGGGTTTTCCCTTCGAGTGTTATAAAACTTTTGGCCTGTCTAAGCCTTGTTATTGCTTCCCATTGACGAGCCCATTCAGATTTCACCCAAGAGTCACATTTAGCTTGGGCGTATCCTTGGGGAATGCCAAAGAAGGTCTTAGGGCCAATTAGTTGGCGAAGGGCTCCTCTATTTGCTAGGCAGTCGGCCCTTTCATTGAAAGAGTGACCCTCATGACCAGGTATCCAACTTAAAGTTAGTTTGTTGTGTTTACCTAATTCATTGAGTGAAGTCAAGCAGTCCGATACAACACCCGACCTAACTTCGTATGACAATAAGGCCTTGAGTGATGCTTGGCTATACGAAGGAGAATGGTTCATCTCCTAACGCACTAACTACCACAAATAAAGGTGACATATATTTCTGCTTGAAAGATTGAAGTATAGTATCCCAGGGGATTTGCCTTTTGGAAGTTGGGGCCACAAATACCCACTTGGCCATTTTTTTGTTTGAATCTTTCAGTGAACCAAACCTGATCAGCATTTTCTTGCCACCAAGTTTAATCAGTCTATAAGTCCCTATTCGGTATAATAACCTCAAATGATCTATCGAAAACCATACTCGGTGACCCACAGTCGGGAATTCTCTTATGGGCAAACAAGTCACCAGTTTTCAAGCTGCCAGCTTCATCCTTGATAAGGATGTACAGTGGAATATGCAATATTGCACCTATGGCATATGTGGAACAAGTACTCATAGCTTCACTTATAGAGACACAAATGAGACACTAACATCTTGTCGAAAGAAGCCCGAGTTGTGACCTGTTCCACCTTTTGCCACCAAGCCAAAGAGGTCAATGTGGGCTTTATTATGGTATCAAATGTCCAGAAAATCAATTTCGGCTTGAGACCCCATGCACTACGAAACTGCTTTTTACAGGTATGTAGTGCTCTGATGGCTTTGTTAATAGTACTGGATATATGCTAATTCCAATTAAGGGTCTTGCCAAGAATGATCCCCAGATATTTAACTTCTTCGGAAAACTTAATTGTTGAACGTTGGCTCAATGAGTTCCAGAGTTTCAGCGTCTTGTAAATGGTGCAAGAATGGTTTTTGAGGGGTTGATAATAAGCTCTCTCTCTTGACACCATTTTGAATGTTAGATTGATCACTTCTTGCATCCGCTCCAATATCGTTACGTCATCAAATCCTGTCACGGATATGATAAGATCGTCTGCCTAACCATATGTACGGAAACATAAGTCATTAAGTTTTTCAAGTAGACTATCGATAACCAGTGTGCGCAGCAGTGGCGACAGTACGCCTCCTTGAGGACAGCCTCTGGTAGCCCTTATGGTCCTCGATCTTCTACATAGATTCAAAGACTCTGGATGTCAGTATTTCCAGTGTCCAGTTTCTTATGACAGCTGGTATGGCTTTTTTACGTAATGCATTTCTATAACACCATACGACGTATTGTCGAAGGCTCCTTGTATGTCTATAATCGCTCAAAGGGCCCAGAGCCTTTTCGTTCTGTGTCGTAACTTGGTGTATGGCTGTCGCCTTTGATTAGCCAGGTATCTCTTTATTGAAGAGATACTTTCTATACAAAATTTCTCTTTATTGAAGAGATATTTTCTATAGAAAATTTCTCTTATTTTAAAAGTTCTTTTCTAGAGAATGCTTTTTATACCCACCATCAAAAAAGATGGGGGGTATATTGATTTTGTCATTCCGTTTGTAACACATTGAAATATTGATCATAGACCTCATTAAATTCTAAGACGACCTAGCCATGTCTGTCCGTCTGTCCGTCCGTCCGTCTGTCTGTCTGTCTGTTGAAAGCACGATAGAGTCCGAATGGAAAGAGCTAGAGGGTTGAAATTTCACATAAATATTTCTTATAGGCAAGGTTTGTTTGGCATTGGAAATGGGCAATATCGGTCCACGTTTACGGATAGCCCCCATACAAGTGGCCCCTCGAAAAGCAGCTTTAACAGCCATAACTTGTTTAAAAATACGAATATAGCGATGAAATTCGACATAAGTAAGTTTCCTATGATCCAAAATCACTATGTAAAATTTTATGAGGATCGGTCCATAATTGACCCTACCCCCCATATAAGGTCCCCTTCAGAAAATGACTTTAACGCTCATTACTGGCTTAAAAATACTAGTATATAGATGAAATTTGACATAAGTAAGTTTCATACGAGTCAAAATCTATCTAAAAAATTTTATGAGGATCGGTCCATGATTGACCCTACCCCCCATTAAAGGTCTCCTTCAGAAAATGACTGCAACGCTCATTAATGGTTTAAAAATACGTGTGTAGCGATGAAATTCGACACAAGTAAATTTAATACGAACCAAATTCTGTCTACCAAATTTTATGAGGATCGACCCATAATTGACCCTACCCCCCTATATAAGATCCCATTCAGAAAATTACTTTAACGCTTATAACTGGCCTAAATATACGAGTATATAGATTAAATTCGACATAAGTAAGTTTCGTTCGTGTCAAACGAGGTTTGATGGTGGGTATATAAGATTCGGCATAGCCGAATATAACACTCTTACTTGTTCCATTTTAAGATTTCCTATAAAAGTAAATATGAGCTCTTTAAGCTTTAAAACAGATTTTGGTAGAAGTTTTTTTTCTGGTGAACCAACAAAACATTTCTAATCAGATTTTTGTGCCATTTTTTTGTGTGAATTTCTAAACTTTGTGGTTTTGGTCAATGCGTAATAATAAGAGTCTTACAAGCTATTGGAATTAAAGCAAAAATTCAAAGATAAGTTTTGTTTTGCTTAGTTTTATGTTGGTGAATTACGAAAATCTTGATACCTTTTCCTATTCAACAAAACCCCAATCCATTGACCTAGTTAATTGCATTCTTATCTTAACAACTAACAAATAAAGAAAAAAAATTAAATGTCTTTTCTTTACATCCTATGTTGTCGGGGTAACGAAGGACAATCAATATGACCATTTGCTTAAAAACCCCTTTAATTCTTAATTCCCCCCTTAATTCTTTTCAGTAGTTTTTGTGTTCTTTTTTTTTATCCAATCACACCATACTCACCGTTATAGGTGGCTGCTATACGCAGCAGGCGTACAAAATCGATAAATGTTGATTTGCCTAAATCACGTTCAGACAATGCCTGTCGCCATTTAATCCATTGAAATTCCAAATCCATATAGTTTCTGGTACGCACAATGTGTCCAATTATCGTCGGCACCATGGCCCACTGCTGACTGCAATCCTGTTGAACACACACCAAACGTGATGTTATAAATGTTTGCATGGTGTGCAGCAACTCCTTGGCCTGTTCAAAGTCTCGTCTACCCAGACCATATAGTTGCAGCTTCGACAGACGTTGCACCTGGCGTCGTAGTGTTGAATTTTTTAATTGTTGCACTGGTATAACGCTGAGATTACCTGCCAACTCGTAGACCAGGTTATGATAGTCTCTGTCTATTTCCTGTTTGATGGGCGCTTGATTAACACTGTATCCTCTGCCCTGCGTTAGACTATAGAAGAGTTCACGTTTGCGATTGTAAATCGATTGCATGCGCTTAATGGCCGTGTCCAATGCCTTTGAAGCATGAGCTTCATAAACGGAGGAATGTAGGTATTTGTCAGTGGTATTTGTTGTAGCATTTGTCGTGGATATTGTTGCTGTTGCTAGTGTTGCATTCTTAATGTTGGTTGATGTTGCAGTCGTGTTGCTGGATGAGGTGAGATTTTGATTGGCGGAGGTGGAGGCTTTGCTCTGGCAAAGGGCCAAGCTAAAAATAACAAACTGTAAATATAGCAGAAGATGAAAAAAAAAATCATGTTAAGTTTTGCATAAAAGTTTTTTAATGTTCAAAAAGAAAGAGAAAAAAGAAAATCTGTGATTAAGGAAAAGCAGTTACTTTTTTTCCAATAAAAGTAACAGGAACTTCAATGTGTTAGTTTCTTGTTTTCCAGCTCTAAAGCTCCGGATATAAAAAACCCTTTTGCCTTAAACATCAACTGTTAAAAATAAATAAATTCTTAAGTAATCTGCTGAGAGCCAAAGAGGCCAACAGCAAATTACTTAAAAACCTGAGGCAATTTTGTTATTTATTACTTACCGTTATTTTAAAGAAGATGGATTTCATCTTTCTTTGTGTGTGTGTGCGTGTGTGTCTAGTAGTAAAACTTCCTTTTCTGTTTTATTTTCTTAATTTTTTTGGGGTTTCTTTTATAGATTTACCACTTTAAGTTCAAAATTGCTTTCTTTTTATAGTTTGTTTTGATTATTTTTTGTTGTTATTTTTTAACAGCAATGATTGCATAAAGTAGAGAAAAAATAATAAAAACATTTCCTTGATTATATTTCAAAGTTTTTTTTTCTCTTATACATCACAAACAAATATAAAAAATATAACAAATAAAGAAGTAAAAGTGGTCAAAAACGACTACGATATCAACTAACTAACTCTTAATATAGGAGAACTTTTCTAGAACTATTAATATAAGAGAACTAACTCTATAGAAAATAACTGCTAATATAAGAGAAATTTTCTTTAGAAAACATCTTTTAATATGAGAGAACTATTCTATAGAAAATAACTCTTAATATAAGAGAACTTTTCCGCTGAACTAGAACTGAACTAGAACTAAATTAGAACTGAACTAGAACTGAACTAGAACTGAACTAGAACTAAACTAGAACTGAACTAGAACTGAACTAGAACTGAACTAGAACTGAACTAGAACTGAACTAGAACTGAACTAGAACTGAACTAGAACTGAAGAACTGAACTAGAACTGAACTAGAACTGAACTAGAACTGAACTAGAACTGAACTAGAACTGAACTAGAACTGAACTAGAACTGAACTAGAACTGAACTAGAACTGAACTAGAACTGAACTAGAACTGAACTAGAACTGAACTAGAACTGAACTAGAACTGAACTAGAACTGAACTAGAACTGAACTAGAACTGAACTAGAACTAGAACTGAACTAGAACTGAACTAGAACTGAACTAGAACTGAACTAGAACTGAACTAGAACTGAACTAGAACTGAACTAGAACTGAACTAGAACTAAACTAGAACTGATCTAGAACTGAACTAGAACTGAACTAGCACTGAACTAAACTGAACTAGAACTGAACTAGAACTGAACTAGAACTGACTAGAACTGAACTAGAAACTGAACTAGAACTGAACTAGAACTGAACTAGAACTGTAACTAGACTGAACTAGAACTGAACTAGAACTGAACTATACTGAACTAGAACTGAACTAGAACTGAACTAGAACTGAACTAGAACTGACTAGAACTGAACTAGAAACTGAACTAGAACTGAACTAGAACTGAACTAGAACGAACTAGAACTGATCTAGAACGAACTAGAACTGAACTAGAACTGAACTAGAACTGAACTAGAACTGAACTAGAACTGAAACTAGAACTGAACTAGAACTGAACCAGAACTGAACTAGAACTGAACTAGAACTGAACTAGAACTGAACTAGAACTGAACTAGAACTGAACTAGAACTGAACTAGAACTGAAACTAGAACTGAACTAGAACTGAACTAGAACTGAACTAGAACTGAACTAGAACTGAACTAGAACTGAACTAGAACTGAACTAGAACTGAACTAGAACTGAACTAGAACTGAACTAGAACTGAACTAGAACTGAACTAGAACTGAACTAGAACTGAACTAGAACTGAACTAGAACTGAACTAGAACTGAACTAGAACTGAACTTGAACTAGAACTGAACTAGAACTGAACTAGAACTGAACTAGAACTGAACTAGAACTGAACTAGAACTGAACTAGAACTGAACTAGAACTGAACTAGAACTGAACTAGAACTGAACTAGAACTGAACTAGAACTGAACTAGAACTTAACTAGAACTGAACTAGAACTGAACTAGAACTGAACTAGAACTGAACTAGAACTGAACTAGAACTGAACTAGAACTGAACTAGAACTGAACTAGAACTGAACTAGAACTGAACTAGAACTGAACTAGAGCTGAACTAGAACTGAACTAGAACTGAACTAGAACTGAACTAGAACTGAACTAGAACTGAACTAGAACTAGAACTGAACTAGAACTGAACTAGAACTGAACTAGAACTGAACTAGAACTGAACTAGAACTGAACTAGAACTGAACTAGAACTGAACTAAGAGAACTTTTCTACCAAAAGATTCTATATAAATAAATCTCAAACGAGTGATATAATCTAATGTTTGCCTGTACTACAAACATTAGAACAAACCCATTACACTTTCCCCACTTTATAGTTGTGTAGGGCGAAATAAATAAACAAGATAAGAAATTCAGAATACAAGCAAACACATACAAAATTAAGAAAACACCATCATTCATTCAATTCCTACATTCATTGATGTAAATGTTAAATTTCAAGAGTGTTGATATTTGACGAGTGTGTATTTTAGTTTTTTTGTATGTTAAATATATTATTTTTATTTTCGTTTGTATTAAGTGCTGGTGACCTTGATCCAGAACAAAATGACGTAAATTTCTGTTTAATATTTTTTCTCAAACTTTTTTAAAGACAAAAAAGAAAATAATTTATTTTAACTTTTTAACTTTAGTTTGCACAAGTACATTTTAGTGGGCTCTTACAACACATTCCAATAGTTTTTCATCGAAGAAGGCAAAGCAAAAAAACTTTGCGCCATTAAATGAATTCTCTATGACTTTTAGATGTTTTTAACGTTTGTTTTCATTGCTAAAGCACTTTTATCCTTTTTCGAAAAAGTTTTTTTCTTCTTGTTTTTTTTATTTTTTGTTTAATTTCAATACGAATGTTTTCCTATTTGAATGTTTAAACGATCAACATCTCACGCAAGACTGAGTTTGAATTGTAATTTTTTTTTTTTGAAAAATGTGTTAATCTCAGCGTTGATTTGAATATAAATACAGAGCTTATCTTGGTTAGAGGGTATTTGATTTTGTTTTTTTTTCTCTCATTTAGAAATGCTGTTTAGTTGTAGGATTGTTTGAGGTCTAAATATTTTGTTTTAACTTTCGAGTCAAACAAACTGTACCAATGCAATAGAAATCTTCTCAAGAAACAAAATTTCTATAAAAACTTTCTTTTAAAAATAACTCTTAATATAAGAGAAATTTTCTGCAGAAAATTTAAACTAGAACTGAACTAGAACTGAACTAGAACTGAACTAGAACTGAACTAGAACTGAACTAGAACTGAACTAGAACTGAACTAGAACTGAACTAGAACTAAACTAGAACTGAACTAGAACTGAACTAGAACTGAACTAGAACTGAACTAGAACTGAACTAGAACTGAACTAGAACTGAACTAGAACTGAACTAGAACTGAACTAGAACTGAACTAGAATTGAACTAGAACTGAACTAGAACTGAACTAGAACTGAACTAGAACTGAACTAGAACTGAACTAGAACTGAACTAGAACTGAACTAGAACTGAACTAGAACTGAACTAGAACTGTACTATTACTGAAGTAGAACTGAACTAGAACTGAACTAGAACTGAACTAGAACTGAACTAGAACTGAACTAGAACTGACTAGAACTAGAACTGAACTAGAACTGAACTGGAACTGAACTAGAACTGAACTAGAACTGAACTAGAACTGAACTCAGAACTGAACTAGAACTGAACTAGAACTGAACTAGAACTGAACTAGAACTGAACTAGAACTGAACTAGAACTGAACTGACTAGAACTGAACTAGAACTGAACTAGAAACTGAACTAGAACTGAACTAGAACTGAACTAGAACTGAACTAGAACTGAACTAGAACTGAACTAGAACTGAACTAGAACTGAACTAGAACTGAACTAGAACTAAACTAAACTGAACTAGAACTGAATTAGAACTGAATCTAGAACTGAACTAGAACTGAACTAGAACTGAACTAGAACTGAACTAGAAACTGAACTAGAACTGAACTAGAACTGAACTAGAACTGAACTAGAAACTGAACTAGAACTGAACTAGAACTGAATTAGAACTAACTAGAACTAGAACTGAACTAGAACTGAACTAGAACTGAACTAGAAACTGAACTAGAACTGAACTAGAACTGAACTAGAACTGAACTAGAACTGAACTAGAACTGAACTAGAACTCTGAACTATAACTGAACTAGAACCTGACTAGAACTGACTAGAACTGAACTAGTACTAACTAGAACTGACTAGAACTGACTAGAACTGAACTAGAACTGAACTAGAACTGAACTAGAACTGAACTAGAACTGAACTAGAACTGAACTAGAACTGAAACTAGAACTGAACTAGAACTGAACTAGAACTGAACTAGAACTGAAACTAGAAGTGAACGAGAACTGAACTAGAACTGAACTAGAACTGAACTAGAAACTGAACTAGAACTGAACTAGAACTGAACGAGAACCGTTATAATATAAGAGAAATTTTAGTAAAAAAAGTTTAAATTGTTTGTGTTTAAGTTGTAAAATTAAATAAATTCAATAATTTTCTCATACAATTAAGGTTTGTTTTTTGTTAATAAACTATAAATTAAAAGAACTTTTCCATAAAGTCGGCAGTACGATTTGGGGCATTAACTTTGCGGCATTCTGAAAATTTTAGAAAATAAAAAAATTAACGAGTTCTTTATTTCATTTGTGGCATTACTTACGATCTGTTGTCATCCAGCCAACATGTAAATTTTTATCCAAATTATCTTCGGCAATCCAAGTGTGTAACGGTTCAAAGTATTCCATAAAGGGAGTGGCAGATAATTTCGTTAATTGTTGTATGGTAAGATCTTTAATTAACTCACGCCAGGGTTTAGTGGAACCAGCCTTCATCATTTCCCTACAAATATAAAGAACAAATTGTTTAAGAATTTAGTAAATTTCGAAAGTTTATTGTAAAAATCTCACTTGAATATAAGGCCAGCATGTTTGCTATTATCAAATCACAGTTATGCAAAGTTTTGTAAGCATTGCCTATCTGATACTCGCCGATTTTCAAGCAGATACCTCTATAGATTTGATAACCCAAAAATTCACCAAACAATTTTCTGAAAGTTGTTAAAGATTATTTCACTTTTCCCGGTTTGGGGCCTTAAAATTCCAAAATTTCTTACCTAGTGCTGCTAAATTGGTCAACAATGCCTTCATAGAATTTATAGGGCATATCATAGGCATTGGCATCAGTTTCTACGGGTCTCTGAACTCCCATATATTTCTCCATAAGATTCCAATAATGACAATTAATCTGATCTGGTCTTATTTTTTTGTCTATAATATCGGTCCATAGCTTTTCGTGCACAAAATATGTGGGTATGGACAACACAGTATGAACGGCCTTGATAAATATGAAATCAAGCAGTATTGATTATAGAGAGCAACAGAGCGAGAGATAAGAATTTCTATGTAAATATTTACTTACCAAACGATACAGTCTATTTAGATTCAAAATATCATCATAATTATAATCTTGCAATAAGCCCAGACACTGTTGCAAATGTTGTGGTGTTGATACCGACAATATAATGGCCTCACCCAAGGCGTTGCCAAAACCGGGACAAGCTTCTTGATTCAAACCCACACGTAATTGTTCTTCATTAATGCATATTGTATTTGGGCGACATCACACCGTGGGGTTTGTAAAGTTTTTTATAGTAAACTTTGGGACAATAGTTGAGTTCAATTTCACCG